GAAGATGGCTTCATGGTTTCAAAAATGTTTTTTTCCACAGATTTGGCCAAATCAGGAGTCAGCTAGAAACTGAATTAATTCTGGAAACAATTCTGCTTTATCGCCTGCCTTATTTATAAATTTGGCAAATCAGAATTTGACATGTTTGAGGGCATTACCAAAATACCTCAGAAGTCGATGTTACCAAGATGGTTAACTCTGTGTAAATGAGAATGTTTAAGCACTTATGTTAAGTGGATGTTAAATAAACACTTATGTTAAGTGGATGTTAAACATTATTAATAATAATAATAATTGTATTGGAACCAATTTAGGTTCATTTTTCTTCTTGGCCAGTAGGGGGCGCAGGTTTGAACAGTTGCTATGTTGAGCCAGCATGTAAAAGAAGTGTGTCAGTAAGTTTCCCATATGCAAGCAAAACCATCTGTTCAGTAATCTGAAGCCATCCGCTCTATTTCATCCGTATGAGTGGAAATATGAGTTTTTCTCTGTATGTTAAGTTTACACAGGATTTAAGATATTATTGGGAATGAGTTGGGTTACTTAGCATGTTTTATAGATTGAGGATCTGATAGGAAGCAATGTTAACATGCTGTTGAGATGAATCCTTTAGTGCACCTATGCTAAGGATGTTTGTTTAAATTGATCATCTGTGCTGTACACCAAGATTATTTGTTCTGTATTTTGTATCATTTCAGTTTCACATTTTGTTGCATTCAATTCCTTCCAAATACAACATGTGCCTGTTCATTGGAGGAGAGCGATGCAAGAAAAGAGTTTAGCTGGCTGTGAATCTCAATATAGGACACGGGGTCGCATTGGGTGCAACAGTACAATAATCTTATTATAATGTGTACGAGTTAGAGGTCAACCAATATTGGTTTTTCTATTGCTAATACCGATATGAGGCGGTCGTCGTCAGCCGATGGCCGATAAGTGCTGCTGATTTTTTTGGGTCGATTTTAGGGCCGATATCGCGATGTCTGGCACCTTATCAGATTGCTTCATTATCACTAATAACAGCTGTGGAAGCGCAAGTTTTCTGGACCTAATCTGTTTTTAAACACTAGATTTAACCAGTTTAATTTTGTGCACTGCTCAGTGGTAAAATCAAACATTATAACAAGATTAATAAAAAATACCAATAACTGACCAAATATTAAATACACAAAAACAGGCAAAAACAGAAATATCAGTTGATATTGTTTCAGAGCATTTATTAAGCAGATGATTAATAGGGATGTACACATTTACATGCAAGTATACAGTAAATAAATGCACCTTTAGAATAGAAAGACAGATCTTACAGTGATAATTTATAAAACTCAACAGCAACCTGCTAAAATACACCAGCAACATCAAAAGTTCATCCAGTCTTTTTAACTGACTATTTCATAACATCTTCATGTAAAACAGCTTCAGTATTAACTAACCATAGTGCTCATGACTCAGCAGCAGCTTCTGTGTTGACCTGGAGATGGGGAACCTTCAGGTTGTGTTTTTTACCTTCTTCAGCTCCCAGCTCACTAGCCTCCTGCTGATATCACACCTCCTTTCCTTGGTTTGGCTCCATGACTTGCTGCCATGCTGGAAGTGATTTAGTTGAGCCATCAGACAGAAACTAACCAAGAGAAACAGCTGTTAGCGTTTGTGTAGAGCATCCATCTTCAGTTGAGTCTGTAGCAGAAAGAGCAGAGGAGAACTCAGCACATTAGTCTATATGAGAAATATTAGAGCAACACCCATCTATTAATAACCCTAACTAGTCATTAGTGTTACGGACTGCTGATGTTAGATTTTACGTACCAATTAAAACGAGTCTTTAGTCAGAACACGTCTCTGCTGTTTCTGATCAGATTACACGCTAAACAGAAAAACAAGAGCTGCATTTATATACAGATCTTTTCCTGTGTTTCCGTTCATCGTGTCATCCACGTAAGAACTGGAGAAGCGTGACGTTCTTCAGCTCCTCCCACCAGGAGGGGGTTTAGATGCTGCAGGACTCTCCTCTCTAACACACCGAGTGAAATTCTCAGACTCCCACACAGGAAAATAATGTCATCTATAAAACTGGAGCTAACATGTTAAGCTAAAAGCAGCCGAGTTTAAGACGGTCTCTAAAACTGACAACAAGTTAGCCTAGCTTTAGCAGCATGCTGCCGCTGTCTGTTAAGGATCTGCTCGGGTGCAGGATCGGCTCGGGGTCCTTCCGACTGCCGATGACGTCAAAGTAGTTGATTGGCTGAACATGAAGCTTACGGAAGTTACGTTATCACATTATGATTTTGACGTTATCACATTATGATTTTGATTGGTCAGAACAAATTTGCGGTCGTAGTCTTAGCAGTTGTAGTCCTGTAGTCCAAAAATCGACACTTTTTGGAGAAAATGTTTGAATTTCTAAAGGAAATGTAACATATAAGTAAATGATAGACGGTGACCCTCAAAAGCTCTTGATGTTGATGAAATGGGGCAAAACAAAACATAAGAACTTTATTGAAAGACACCAAGCAATATTTTGAGTCAAATAATGCATTTAGATAACAAGGAAATATACAGACGAACTCCACATTAATACAAACAGCTATGGCTTCACATATAGGAACTGTTCTATTTTTTGTCAGTCCGATGTTGGTTTTATGCAGTTTCACATTTTTTACAAAACAAAGATAATATGGTGTTTTATTAGCAAATTACAATTATAAAGAAAACATTTAGGTGTTAACAAACAACAATTTAACAAAACTGCAGATGTCTTTCCAAAACGTGTGTGTGAAAGCCGAGTAGATTCGCAGTAATGTGACGTCATCGGCAGTCGAAGGACCCCTAGCCGATCCTGTATTCGAGCAGATCCTGTACCAACACCGGTTAGCGGTGGTTCTTACGGCTCGTTTTTTCTTTCACTGAGCTAAGTTTTATTTTATATTTTACTTTTAATTCACACTAAATACACAGCTGTAGGGTTTGAAACACCAAAGAGAAGTCTTACCTTTTACTCAAAGGTAAATACTCCCAGTGTTTTGGATCGGGGTCCTTCACCAGCTTCCAGCAGCAGCGGGCTGCACGCGAAGGTGCCCGACTTTAAATCGGCTCAACTAAAGAGGCTCATCGGCCAATGCGGATGATGAAAAAAATGCTAAATATCGGCCAAATTAATCGGTCGACCCCTAATGTGAATAGAGCTGTTCGTCAGGGCCGACTCCTGCTTCTAGCATGACCACAGTTCTCTGTTGTGCAGAACAGATTGGTCCAACTTTCCTTAAAACTTTTTCATGAGTGAAGGGTCCAGGGCTTTGTGTTTAACAGGAACAAATGTCTCTTCAGTGGAAGAAAAAAAATAATCACTGTTGAATAGGACCGACGTTTATCATCCCAGAACTCTGGCTTCTCTTTGAACACCCTTTTATCTTTAGACATTCATATATTGGGCATGTGCACAATGATGGAGATGTCAACAACCTGACATGTATGTACTTGGTCTGTATGAGAGAGCATGCCAACACCACTGAAAGACTGCAGCAGGGATTTAAACCAGCAATCTTCTTGCAGAAGTGCTACCAGATGCTCCACCATGCAGCCCTGTTTAAACCCAAGCACAAGAGCAGAGGCGTTCTGTCAATCATTAACTAGCCACCAGACCTGATGCATCTGAGCCACCTGAGGAGGAAAAGCCCAGCCAGTCCAGACAGTCTGTGCACCTGGTAGCATCTAATGGTTTATTAGAACACACACACACACACACACACACACACACACACACACACACACACACACACACACACACACACACACTCACACACTCACACACTCACACACTCACACACTCCTCCGTCAGCGTTGGAACACCGCAGAAGCAATGCCCTCCTTTGGAGGTCAAAAGCTGAGGAGGAGTCCGCCAGAGCAAAGATGCAGGATCCCCCTCCTTCCTACCAGGACACACCCTGCCGGAGAGGGGAGGAGGTGGATGAGGAGCAAGGAGCAGAACCAACGCTGTTGCTCATCCGAACAGATGACGTAAGCACGGTTCGCTATACTCTGGTTAACTCAGATACAACCTAGTCGGTAACGATCTTTCCACCGTGACTGGGGAACCCGCGAGCCAAGCGGGAGAACAGAAATACACACGATCAATGCTGCAGCAGTTCCCGCTGATGGAAAATCCTTCCTTTAGTCACCGAGGGGGTTTTCCTGCAGACTCCTGGAAAATTGTTTCCAGACACTGGGAAAGCTGCGCAGCAGCCCGGGGAGAGCCGCGCCAGGGACCGCTCACGTTTCCGTTTAATCACGATCAACCACGGACTCCAGAGTCACACAAACAACTGCGCATTCAGCCTGCCATGGGTTTTCCCAATATGCCAACTTTACCAACTAGGAAGCACAGGCAGCTCTGCTCCCACATTCCACAAGTTTCCCCCAAATTAGGCCCGCTTTCCCGGGCTTAGGCGGTTCCGAGGCTCGTCAGGCTGGAGCCTAGCTAACAGCTGAACCGGAAATCGCCCCGGGCTTCTTGCAAACGTTTGCTGGGATGAATCCGTCCCTAAACCAGGTAAACAGAACCGCCACACCTGTGGATAATCCCACATCTGCTAATAAACCGGGTACGGACGATACCCGAAGGCTGAGGAGTGCAGAGCTGATCCAAACGGGTTTAAAAGCCGTTAGATTTCGTCTTTATCCCAACATTACAGCCACAAGTTCAGGCGGGAAAGTTTCACTTCAGGAAGCAACGTTACTCTACCTACGAATCAGCGTCCAAATCACGTCCCGAGCTGCTGGGTTGAGGGTTCGGGAGGCGGCGGAACCTTCTCGGTTTCCCAACAGAGCAGCTTGACAACTGCGGGGAGGTGGAAACAGCCTTCCAGCGAGTGGGCGGAGGAGAATCACTCAACTGGTTTTCCTTCCAATGGTCACAGCCGTGTCAGTAATTAGCTAGGCTAGTTCTGGACCGGCACTAACCGGATCCACCAACACAGCCTTCTGGGAGCAAAATACGTACTCACCCTCTCTCTCCCCACCGGGGAATTCCAGTCTTCGGTCCCGTCGCCGGAATGGCGGTAAAATGACCCCTCCGGTTTCGCCTCGCGCCGTCAATGCCTCGCGCTCACAAGGGCGACAGAGGGAGGGGCCAGCCCTCTGCGTGTTTTAAGGTGGACCTGGGAGATAATGAGATGATGAGGTAGGAAGTGGACATCTGGCTCAGAGGTGAGGAGAGTTCTGAACAGCCTCAGGTTAGAAAAACAGAGATTCACTCACTTTAGTGGGACCCGTTCCAAACTGGGTTCAACTTTAAAACTCACCTAATCTCATCTGGAGGCTTTTCTATACCTTCACAATTATTCAGGCAGTCATGGCCAAAAGGACAAATAACTATAGAACTATGTCACAGACCTGCTATGGCACGTTATGAAATATTAGCATAAACTGCTGTCACGTTTTAAACTATTTTTAAAGCCTATCTCAGGAGGTGGAGTGGGTTGTCCAGTACTCGAAACACAGTTTGTCAGCAAAACAAAGTTGCTGACAAACTCCACACACGCATGAGGAAAGCAAGCCAGCTCCATGCATGCATGAGGAGAACACGCCAGCTCCACACATGCATGAGAACACTCCAACTCCACACATGAATGAGAACACGCCAGCTCCACACATGCATGAGAACACTCCAACTCCACACATGAATGAGAACACGCCAGCTCCACACACGCATGAGAACACGCCAGCTCCACACACACATGAAGAGAACACGCCAGCTCCACACACATAGATGAGAACATGCCAGCTCCACACACATGCATGAGAACACGCCAGCTCCACACACACGCACAAAGAGAACACGCCAGCTCCACACACATGCATGAGAACATGCCAGCTCCACACACACGCATGAGGAGAACACGCCAACATGAGAACATGCCAGCTCCACACACACACGAGAACACGCCAGCTCCACACATGCATGAGAACATGCCAGCTCCACACACACATGAGAACACACCAACTCCACATGCACACGCATGAAGAGAACACACCAGCTCCACACACACATGCTTATGAGGAGAACACGCCAACTCCACACACACATGAGAACACACCAACTCCACATGCACACGCATGAAGAGAACACACCAGCTCCACACACACGCATGAGAACACGCCAGCTCCACACACACGCATGAGGAGAATACGCCAGCTCAACACGCACACGCATGAAGAGAACATGCCAGCTCCACATACACGCATGAGAACACGCCAGCTCCACACACACATGAGAACACGCCAGCTCCACACACACACATGAAGAGAACATGCCAACTCCACACACGCATGAGAACATGCCAACATCACACTCATGAGAACACTCCAACTCCACACACGCATGAGAACACGCCAACACCACACACACACATGAGGAGAACATGCCAACTCCACGCACGCATCAGAGCACGCCAGCTACACACATGCATGAGAAGAACACACCAACTCCACACAAGTGCACGAGGAGAACACACCAACTCCACACAGGCATGAGAACACGCCAACTCCACACACACACGAGGAGAACACGCCAACTCCACACACACACGCATGAGAACACGTCAACTCCACACACGCATGAGGAGAACAAGCCAACTCCACACACGTGTGAGGAGAACACATCGACTCCACACGCGCATGAGAAGAACACATCAACTCCACACGCGCATGAGGAGAACACGCCAACTCCACACACGCATGAGAACACGCCAACTCCACACACGCATGAGAACACGCCAACTCCACACACGCATGAGAACATGCCAACTCCACACAAGCATGAGAACATGTCAGCTCCACACACACACACACATGAAGAGAACACGCCAACTCCACACACACGCATGAGGAGAGCACCCCAACTCCACACTTATGTATGAGGAGAACACGGCAACTCCACACGCGCATGAGAACACGCCAACTTCACACACGCATGAGAACATGCCAACTCCACACACATGCATGAGAACACGCCAACTCCACACACACACGCATGAAGAGAACACGCCAACTCCACACACACATGAGAACACGCCAACTCCACACACACATGAGGAGAACATGCCAACTCCACACACGCATGAGGGGAACATGCCAACTCCACACACGCATGAGGAGAACATGTCAACTCCACACAAGCATGAGAACATGCCAACTCCACACACGCATGAGAACATGCCAACTCCACACACACACATGAGGAGAACACGCCAACTCCACACACGCATGAGGAGAACACACTGTAGCGTCATGAATGGCCTCTAATTTGTGAGGAGCCGTGATGTCTGCTAAACAACATCTTTATCTGTTGCTGTTCTGTCCCGACGGAAGATTTGACAATAATAATTTTTAAATAATAATTTAATAAACTCTTTGACTTAATTACTGTTTATTACAATCATCATAAATAATCATCTTGGTTCAGTATAAATGTCTTTTAATTACTGGATTGACTTATTATGCTTTGAATAATAATAATTATTATTATGCTAATCAGTAAAGTGTGTTCAGTAAACCAGAAGGTCACTTGCACATTATCCACCTCATGCAGAGGGTGAATCCAGGGTAAAGTTTAACCACCTCACATGTCTTTACTTCATGACAACAAGCTTTCTGACGCTGAGAGGGCGTGTTCTGAGGTTTTTTAAAACCAAATTTCTGCAGCTGTAAATTCAGTTCTTGAGCCATACCAGGAGACGAAGGATGGCCGCCCATGTCTTTACTAAGCATTCTGTCACGCCAATAGACTTGCTTCGAATAAACGCACCTGTAACCAGCTGATGCAAAAACTCCTTCAGAGTTAAGCCAGACGCAAGCTCAACACTGTGTACCCCTGCAACAACTCTGGACAAGAGAGTCGGTTCCACTCGGTTCTTCTCTACCGGACCGAGTACCCTGAGGATGACAACATCCTCCTTTGACCTCCGGATCCACACAGAGGGTCGTCTGATGGGTGAGGTAGCACACAGATGGTGTCCGATGCTGTTTTCTGTAAGAAACAACTGAGTTAGCTGCAAAACAACGTTTTCCATCCAGAACGCGCTTCTCTCTCTGAAAGAAACCTTCTGAGATTCATTCACGCATTTCAAACCTCGCATTCCACCTTGGTTTTCCATCCAGACACAGGTTTGTTTAATTACAAGTTTTAATATCAAGCTGTTTCAAATTGTCAGTTACAAATGGTCATTTTTACAAGTGTTAGTAATAAATTCTTAACTTTTAAAAAACCTGACTCTTCTTTGAAATGAAACACAGAATGGTCACCAATGGACACACCCAACATGTCTCCTTTTAGCGAGGGTCGCTCAGCCTTAGCCCAGGGCTTAAAAGGCTGAGGCAGCCAGAGAGAAGAGTGGGGCCCCCACTAAAAATATCATCCACAAGAGGATGAAATTCATTCAGGTAGGGATGATGTGGTGCCATAATGCTTTCACTCAGCCTGCTAAGGTCCAAGCACTGAACGAGTGATGGATCCTGAAGACACATCTCGTAAATAACAACGAGTAAAGGAACAGGGTGAAGCCCATGAAGCAGCCTGACAAATGTCTTCCATCGACATACCACTGTGGAGCGCCATAGAAGAGGAAATCCCTCTGGCTGAGTGAGCCCTGAGTGTCTCAGGAGGATCCCACCCTGATGATGTGTAAGCGAGTGAAATGGCGTTACACAGCCAGTGTGAAAGACGCTGGGTCGACAGCGCTTGCCCAAGGGAAGAATCTCTGTAGTGCACAAACAGGCTTTGTGAGCAGCGAATCCCTGAAGTGCGTGACACACATCACGCGAGCGAGCGCACCAGGCAGAGAAGGTGGGAAGCCGCCTCCTCATCAGAATTATGGGGAGGAGGAAAAAGTCCAGCCAATGAAATTGACCTGGATTTGAAGGCAGTATTAATGTTTTTGGGCACAAAGGCTGGGTTGGGGCGTAAAATAGCAGACCCGCCATCTTCCCGGATCCTGAGGCATGCGGGAGCCACTGAGAGGGCGGTTAGGTCACTCACTCTCTTGACTGATGCCAGCGCCAGCAGCAAGGCAGTTTTGAGTGACAGGAACTTGAGTGAGACCTGGTCCAAGGGTTCAAATGGGGCTTCAGATAAGCTGCCCATAACCACTGTTAGGTCCCACTGAGGAAATAGCGGGTGGGACACAGGTCTGTTCCTTCTGGCACATTTTAGAAAACGTTTTGTGATGGGATGATTGAAAACAGATCTATCTCCAAAACCCTGGTGACAGGATGAGATAGCTGCAGCATATGTTTTAATAGTGCTGAATGCGAGGCCCCAGTATCTGCAGAAACGATAGGACATCTGCCAGCTGGCAGGAGAGCGCTTGAACATTCCGCTCTGTGCACCATTTCTGGAAAGCTGCCCATTTAGGAGCATAAGATGTGATGATAGAAGGCGCCCGCGCACTCTGATTCGTGGCGACCACATCATGCGGCAGCCCAGAAGCCTCCAAGCGTGACCGCTCAGAGGCCAGACCCACAGCCGTTGGCCTATTTCCGGAGGATGTTTGATTATCCCATCAGCCTGGAGAAGGGTGTCCGCCCTCCACGGAAGCCTCCACGGGGAGCCGGACACTAGCGCTTGCAGGTCTGGAAACCATGACGCGGACAAGCGTCTGGGAGCTACCAGAATTACCGAGAACTGTTCCAACCGAACTCGGTCCAGGAAATGGGGAATCAATGGGACTGGCAGAAACGCATACAGGAGCGTCTGAGGCCAGGGCTGGTGTGAGAAGGCGTCCGCTCCGAGTGGGGGGTGGTCCCGGGGACTCAGGGAAAACCACAGGCGACACTGAGCGTTTTCGCGAGCCGCGAACAGATCCACAGAGGGTTCCCCGAACTTGATCCAGATCTGTGATATCAGTGCGGGATGCAGACGCCAGTCGGCGTCGCGGGGTCCCCCTCTCAACAGGATGTCTGCTGCCACGTTCAGGACCCCCGGAATGTAGGTGGCTTTGATGGACAGCAGGTGGACATGTGCCCAGCACAGTAAATCTGTGGCTACGCGCAATAGTGGGAGGGATCGAACTCCCCCTTGGCGATTTATGTAGGCTGCCGCCACCTGGTTGTCTGTGTGAACTTCAACATGACGGCCCTCGAGAAGGGCAGCGAAGTGTCTGACCACATTCCTCACTGTCATAAGCTCCAACACTTTTATGTGCTCGTGCATGTG